TTAGTTTTCAGACGCTGTTGAGACCCAAATGGAAAAATAAAAATGTCCAGAAAGTGAATTTAGCACAATAGGTCCCTTTAATGGATTTTACTGGGATTTCATGGCTCCCAAACACAAAGAAGCTCATCATTTTCAACTCTTACCACAGATTTTAAATTGGATTTAAGTTGGGACTTTGACTAGGCCATTCTACAACTTTAACAGCTTTGATCTAAACAAACCCATAGCGCCTCTGGCTTCGTGTTTAGGTGATTTTCCTGCTGGAAGGTGATTGTTTTGTATTTGGCTCCACCCATTTTCCCATCAGCTGAGCTGCATGATGCTGCCACCGCCATGTTTAGTTGTGTTCATGTTTTGTAGGAGTGGCCTCTGGTCCACGACGTCTCGGTGTCCCTCTTGGCTCCCAGACCTCGACCCCCTGATCTGGACCCTCAGAGGCCACCCAGGCCTAATCTGCTGCACCGCATCATCCGCAGACTGAAAAACTACTGGAGCCCTCCGGCTGAAGGCACGTCTTCAAGAACATTTCCAAACCCACAGATAATGTCTCAAAATATGTCAATAAACATCAACTTTTAGAGTAGTTTTATTCACTCTTAGATAATTATAGCATTCATTTTGTATAAATGAGTTTTGTGGTGGAAACTTTTATAATCAGATAATAAATGTCTTCCATTGCGATCCCCTTAGAAAACAAGTATATAATATCTCATATTAATCACATCAAATTCTATTTTAATCCCACAGTTCTTCTGGTTTTTTGAGTTTTGTTTTTTTCTAGTCAGAAACTTTTCCTGTTAGCTGGAGGAGCAAAGCAGCTTCATGACTGGCAGCCAATCAGAAAATGAGCATCAGAAATAACATATCATCAAATATTTTAACTTGTATTTTATTTAAAAATAATTGATTAAAAAAATGAAAATTATGATGACAAATTTAAGCATTTTCTCACCTTCTCCACCAACTTCCTGAGGCCCACTACAGCGCCCCCCGGTGGCGGCAGGAGCTGCTGTTTGAAAACCCCTGGCTTACCTTTCGGGTTTAGTGTTAACAGTAAGCTTTGGTTTATTCCTCAGAGCCTCTGAAACCAGAAGAGCCTGAGACGTGGGAGGAGCAGCAGCTGTCTACACCAGAGCTCTACATCCAGACCCTCAATAAAAACCCAGCAGAGCGGGTCAGAAGGAAGCTACTTTAATATTTCCAACCTTTTCTGCTCTTATAAATATCATAAAATCATATTTTTATGTGTGTATCTGTAGCGCATAAATGACGCTCTGATGATCTGCGCTGAACCAGGAAACAGAACCGTGGGCGAGTTCATCTCTGTCGGGTCGGTGTCTTTCCTCATGGAAAGCAGATTAAATGAACTTCCACATTTATTACTTTCCATTGTTTCTCTTAGGAATAAAAAAGTGAAGGATCCGACACTTTTCACTGAAAACTCGACCAAGCTGGAGGCCAGTGTTTGCAGGCTGACCCTGCCGGAGGTGAGGAGCCTCACCAGATGTGTTAGTTGATCTGCTCTGTGAAATCCGTGGGTAACCGCGCGCCTCGCTTCCTGCAGGGCGCCGCCGGCTTCTATAACATCGACAACGAGGAGTACGAGGCGATGCCCGTAGAGGTCCGGCTGTTGCCTAGGAAACTGCGCTTCTTCATCAGCACCAAGCGAAGAGAGGAGCTCGTCTCACAGCCGCAGTGACGACAAACAAGCCCAGAAGGAAGACTAAGAAAGGACAGAATATCAAAAAGCTCCCTTTACTAGCCATAACCATGGCGACATGAAAATCTGTTGCATCGAGAAGGACCAAGGCTTTTCAGTGTTTGTGCCCCAGACTCATGTTGCTCTAATAAAATCCCCTGTCCAGTTCAGTGTGAGGATCTTTGTGTCCGTCTGATGGTGCAAAAGCTTTCAGTTCAGATTGACTCAGGAAGAGGTTTTGTTCAGCAGGAGGAAGGAGGGAGTTGGGCTGAAATGAGAGGAAAAGAGGATGAGACTCTTGGACGAGAAGGAGCCGCTTGGCAGAGCCGGATCCGATCTGACAGATGGTGCCGGATCAGGCTGCGCTGCAGGCGTCCGTTTATCCGTCTCTTTAGGAAACACAAAGTGATGCTGAAAGGTGATTTAATGAAGGCGGATCTCACTGATTTATATGATATATGGTTCATATTTACTCTGTTCATTTTTTGTCCAGATAATATTTAGATTCACAATATTTGAAGCTAAATAGAAAACTATGTTACAGTAAATATTTAGCTCACACAAGCTCAATACTTTTCTTCAAAGTAAATATTCAGCCAGCAAGCTAAATACTAAATATTAGGCTCTAAATTAACCATTTTGCTTGCATGATAACTATTTAACTGAAAAGTAAATATTTAGTTTGCAAGTTAATATTTTCCCCCACAAAATATATAGCATCAAAGTACACATTTAGCAGAAAGCTAAATATTTGGCTCCAAACTAAATATTAGCTCACTATTAATGTCAATGTAAATAGTTAAATAACTAATAAAAAAGCTGGCTTTTTTCTGCAACCTCCTCTTGGTCACTATGGATCCATTATGAATCAGTTTCCTTTTAAATCAAAATATTTTGATTGCTAACCAAATATGCAGTTTGAAACTGACATTTATAAATGAATAAATGACATGGCAGAAATGTGGCTAATTTTAAAGTTTCTCTGAGAACAAGCTGAATATTATTGCTGTTAATGTTTGACTGTAACTTCACAAAAAACACCTTGTATTATTTTTACACCAGGTTACTGTATCATCTGCTGTGTGAGTTTATTGTAGCAAATTTATATCAGATGCTTTATGGAAAGAAATATGACAAAGTGTTCAGAGGGAGACTTGTGGGATTTAATAACATTGAACCAGAATCAGTATTTTCTTGTGTTACAGTGAAACTGACAGGAAATCATGCTGCCGAGTTTGTGTGTTTCACACAGTGGAGGCTTCACTGCTACTTGGTGAACACTCCTGATTTACAATAGTCAGAAAACATCTGCGTGGATGCTGGAGCGACGCCTCTGCTGACATTCAGAAGAGTGAGACGGTTGTTGACCACAGTCAGTGGAGGTTTCCACACAGAAAAGGCGATGCGTTCAGTGGTGGTGTGTGTGGTGTGTGTGTGTGTGTGTGTGTACATTCCCTTTTACATTAAAGCTGTGGAGCAAAAGCAGTCATAGGAGATCTGCTGATGGCTAACGTGAAGCATGGTGTTGAGACATTCAGCAAGTAAAAATTCAAACTACAAACAAGCATTTCTGTGGGAAAAAAACACATTTTAAGGCCCCAAATTTGAAATAAAGCTTAACTGCCGTGAACAATTAGTGCATTTCCTTTTATCCAACATAAAGGTTAAAAAATGAAACAGTATATTTGAAATACAGAAGCGATGCTTGTAACAGTTCATAGCGAGACCGTTAGAAGTTTGAAATCCCACTGGAATGCAGATTCTGGAAGCAGATTTTCAGCCTCCTGTGTTCCAACATGGAACAAATCACTGATTATCAAAATGACCAAAGAACTGAAAGCCCCTCCAGCCCGTCTCCGAAGCCCGGTTCAAGTCACTGAGCTGGAGGAGAGGCGGTCAGAGTTCCTGCATCCATGAGCGAACGAGGTTCTTATGAAGGATCATCTGGTTAACAACTGGAACCAACGAATGCAAGAGTTTAAATCACAAACCCATCATATAAAAGGTTACAGTTAAGCACAAGTTTGTGTGTTTGTGTGTGTGTGTGCGTGTGTGTGAGAGAGAGAGAGAGAGAGAGAGACAGAGAGAGAGAGAGAGAGAGAGAGAGAGAATAATCCAGTGTTTGACCGAGTGCAGCATTCATATTATGTGGTGCATGTTCACTGAAAACCTCCTACAAATATCACAAATGTGAAGCTTTAACCCCCCCCAAAAAAAACTACATTTCCCAGAATGCACCCTTGCTTTTGGTCTGATAATCAGAGAAAGGCCAGCAGACACGGCCTGTGGTGAAAGTGCATAAAGTTTAAAGTATTTATTAACAGCCTTTCTCTTTACAGACAGTCATGAAGGTCATACTAATTTGGGGCTTTTAATAAAAATAAAATTGAATTTATTGTGAATTTCTCATTTTTAAACAGGCTCAAAAATTAATAATATTTCAGTCTTTTTGCAAATTGTTGGTTTTAGAGCCTTTAGTAAACTGTGGCAACAAGAGGAATTGAAAAGGAGGAAATATTTCATTCATCATAATCCAAAAGTTAAGGAGGGATGGCGAAAGCAAATGAGGAGGATTAGCAGAGCTGCTGAATGGATTATGAGACTATCATATAGCAGTCCTCAGTCAGAAACTACAACTACGTTTAGCTTTCCTTTAAAAATGTTTTTAAATATTACTGAATTTGAATTACTGTTCCCAATATGGTAGAAATCATTTAAGTTGATTAATTACCTGATTTTAAGTATTTCACAGATTATCAGCCATTGATCTGGAACACCATCAATCAATTTATCAAATTTTATGTTTATGACAATGTAATTTTTGGAAAATCTATGTTCCAAAATAAGGCGATTTTACTTTCAGTCTCAGTTCTGATCCAAAATCCACAACTTCAAATTTGACTGGAAAGATGGGAAAATAAAAGAGGAGTACATCTCAAACAGATAGACGTGTTATGATTAATCTTGATATTCAAAAATAATAGAAATGGTATCTTGTATTTTTAAACAGGTGAAAACATCAGAAACAATAATATTCATCTCTTCATGACTGAATGCAAACTTGTCATCAGCTTCATGATGTTCACGTCTTCCAGTCATAAAGCAGAATCAGTCTCATCCGTTTCCCTCCAAAGCTTTTTCACTCTCATGTTGTTTCCTTTCTGAAACGCAGAATAAAGTAGATTTACCAGAACCAGAAGCTCACAGCACATCCAGGAGTTCGAGTGAGTCGGTTTAATTTCCCAGGAAATGAATCCAATTAGACAAATTAACTCCAATGGGGGAGAACTTTTTCCCCAAATGCGACTGAGAGTTTCAGAAGGATCCAACAATCATCACCCCACACTGAGTGTCCAGGTCACCCACAGTGGGGCGGCTCATAAACCCAAAGGTGAACAGATGAAAACCCCCAGATGGGGGCAGTGTTTCCATTTCCAGTGTGTTGCTCTGTGTGGGGGGGCTGCTGCTGGTGGGGGTTTAGGAGCAGCAGAGGTTGTCAATGAGCAGCGTGACGTCGATGCCGTAAACCTCCAGCAGGTCCTCCAGGAAGGAGCGGTCCCCCTGGGGGTCCAGCCCCATGGCCCTCATGTGGTCAGCAGTGATGGTGGGATCAGCACTGCCCGCCACCTCACACAGGGTCTGGAAGATCCGGTTGTTCAGCTCCATGAAGAACCTGGCAGACATTTGATCAGGATTAAAATATCTAAGATTTTTTTCTCAAAGTACCTACGTGTTTTCTGGGAACATAGTGCCATTTCATAGCACTATAATAACTTCAGTCGTGAAAAACTGACATAAAAGAAATTTGACTTTGTAATTTAATGCCTTAAAGTTGGGTCTCTTTCTCTTTAAGAACTCGTCCTCTTTTTATCTGTGTTTTTATCTACCACCTATTGGTGGCTACTCTGAAGGAGCTGAGTGGGGGAGGAGCTGTGTCTCAAAGGCGGTTGCTCAACGATTGCCAAGGAGTTTGAAGGATTTCTCAAATTTGAAATAATCAAAGCAACACTCCAGGTTTGATTTTGATGAGGAAAAAGTTTATAACAGGATGTTAAGCTCAAAAAAGCCAATTTTAGATTACACTGCCCCTTTAACAGGAGGCAATGGTTGCAGACCACCAAATATGTTTCCGTCTCCCACTCTTTTTCAGAAAAGCCAAAAAACCAACACAAGTGAGCATAAAAACTTGTTGTTTTAATGAGGAAGTTATTTTGAAATTAGCCATTTCTATCAAACTTTTCTAATGTGATTAAACTTAAATTGCACATGAAAAGTAAAACATTCCTTGGACTCACAAAATGAACAGATCCTCTTCGTTCGCTGTGCAGTTTTCATCCACCTCCTGAGAGTACAGCAGCATCTGTCTGCAAAATGTCAAAAGCAAATAAAATGTGTCAAAACAGGAAATCAAATGAATAAAAAAAAGGTAACTAACAGAAAAAAATCAACAAAATCATCCGTCCATTCACTGTTTTCCAAACATAAAATTCAAGTACCATAAAAACTGAACAAAACTGAAATTTTCTGTTAAATGAAAAGAAAGCCATTTCTGGTGAAAAATAAATGGTTTTTTTTGTGTGTAATAAGTGCTTTAGTACCTTTGTTCACTTAGTTTCCGGTACTTCTCCTTGTCCGCTGCATTCAGCCTGAGCAGCGGCTGCAGGTGGCTTCTGTGCGTCTTTACATTCTGGTTATCGATGTAGACATCATACAGATCCTTCTTGTCCTCAAAAATCTTCTCTGTGGTGCCTTAAAAAACAGAAGAACCTGCTCATTTCTACACCATATAAGAACCACAGAGGATTTTTAAAATGTATTGCACCAAAACTCACAAGCAACGTATGAAAACTCTGTTTCCAAGGTGCTGATGTCAGCAATGTTGATATAGAAAAATGGCCGTAATTCAGGCACAGAAACACCGATTCCAGGGATCGAAACATTAGCCAGGCAGCAACAGCAGTACACTGAAGCAGCAGAAGGGAACAGTCAAATCCAAGGACACAAAGAGGAGAAGCACTGGAAAATTACAGACTCAAAAATAATCGCAATAATTCGGCTTATTTATCCTGTGGTATGAGAAGAAAAGAGGGGGTTCGTTTTTAAAAGTCAGATTCGCCTCGTCATTACAAAAATTTATAAAACTAAATGTTCTCGTTCAAACTAAACAGTTTGCTAACTCAGTATTTAGATAGCAAATTTAATATTTAGTTCTAAACTAAATATTTTGTTAGCAAGCTTAACGGCTTCAAAATCGATATTTAGCTTGCTAACTAAATATTTAGTTTGCTACTAAAATATTTTGTTTGGAGTGAAATATTTAGTTCAGCTTTCAAGCTAAATACCTGGTTTCAGCTAACTTAAATTTTGAACAAAATATTTAGTTACAAACTAAATATTTAGCACAATAAATATTTAGTTTACAAACTATTACTTAGCTTTTTATCTGAACATTTAGCTGCCAATTAAATGTTTGTTTTGAGGCTAAATAATCCGTTTGCTAATTGCTAATTAAAATACTTAATTTGAATAAACCCCCACTTTTTTCTTCTTACGTTATGCAAAATAATCCGAATTATTGCTGTCAACTTTTGCTGTTTACAGTGTCACCCGTACAGAACATCTCTATTTTTACATTCATAAATCATTTCTTCAGTGATGAACAGAGGCTGAAAACAGGAAATAGGTTTAGATTGTGACCACAAGCGGCCAGGAAAGGCCTGGTGTTCAGGCTCGAGCTGCTCACCCCGGTAGCAGACCACGCCTATGGGTGGAGGAGAGAAGATGAGGAGCCGCTTCCGGAGCAGAACAAACTTCCACAGCACCATGATCTGCTCGCCGAAAAACTGGATGAACTGGGACATGCAGCCAGCCGGGTGGGTGATCTGCAGGGAGACAGGTCCTTTTACCATGCATCCAGCAGCAGCTGGACCGGTAAAATGAGCGAGTTCAGGTGTCTCAGACCTTCATCTCTGGGTGCATGCAGCGGTTTATGGCGGAGACGGTCCAGGTTGGGCACAACGGAACCAACCCGTTTCCTGTCGGCGGCAGAACCGCCTTCTTATCCTCGTAAAAAGCCTCCAGTGGTGAGTACTGGCCTGGACAGTGCAGCTGGTGTCTACAAGGCAAACAGTCGGAAACAAATGATGTAATTAAGTCAAAGTTCATCCAGATTTAGATAATGAACCGCCAGCTTGATGAAATAGGCTGTTCAATAATTCCTTTCCATCTTTTCACAGGTGTCCAGTCACACCAAACAGCCGTAGGTGTGAAAATGATTCACTGAAACTGTTTGTTGTGTGATTTTATCAAACAAATTTATGCTGGAAGAGAAAATAAAAGTGTGCAGACATCTAATAAAATCTCCTGAGAACGACTGAAAAAGATAACTGATAGTAATAATTGCACAATTTAAAGTATTTTGCCCATCTTTTTATGTGGATTTAATATTAAGTGATTTGTGTTGTTTTACTTCCTGCAGCAGCTATACATCCTTTCTATTAGATTTTAAAAATACAAGATATTCCTGTTTGCTTCTTTCCTTGTAATGAATAACCTTTAACCTTTAGCTCATAAAGTCCAGAGTTCAAGACATTTATGACTGAATTCATTTCGCTCTGACCTGAGAATAATGCTGCGCAACAGAATTAAAGGTGTGTTGATTTGTTTTGGTTAAAATTATAAAACATTCCACAATTACAAAGCTAAGCTAATGCACTATTGTTTATTGCGATAAACGATAATATTGTCATTTTGAAACCATTTTCAACTGATATAATAATAATCAAAGATCAATAAACTCAAATTCCAAACTAAATTTAACACTTGAACTGGAAGATATTTGAAATATCCAAAATAAACAAACAAAACAACTGAAATAATAAATATGAAGTCTCAATAAAACAAAACATATCTCCATCTCAAGCAAAACAAGCAAAACTCACATATAAGACTTTTAAAAGAAACAAAAATTTAAACTCCTTTGCACATTGCATCAAATGTTTGCAGCATTTCTTAAAATGGCTGCTTTTCAATAATATTAAATGGCAGCATCTCTAAAGATTACATAATGAAATGGAAATGATTGTTCCCATTTTTTTCATCAAGCGATTAATTGATTTATTGTTGACTGTGACGGCTTATTTTTGCTTGATGGGTAAAACCTAACAGTGAACCTGTGCAGCAGAAAACTCAAGCTGAATAACCACTGAGGGGCAGGAAGCTGCATCCCTGCAGCTGTTTTTATTTCTACACAGCGAGACTCCAGTTATTGTAGCAGGAGAGCAGAAGAGCAGAGTTATAGAAGAGAGGAGAAAAGATGCTGTCAGGGTTTCTAGATGCTTTGTGTTGAGAAACAGACACGAACTGAGGCGCTGGCTTCATGTTTAATGGATGAGAACATTTTACACAAAGAGAAGAAAAAGTTCAGTGAGAAATAAAGCAAGAAGGCAGACACACACACACACACACACACACACACACACCAAACACACACACACACAATCACACACACACACACACCAAACACACACACACACACAATCACACACACACACACACCAAACACACACACACACACACACACACACACACACACACACACACACCAAACACACACACACATCACACACACACACACACACACACCAAACACACACACACACACACAATCACACACACACACACACCAAACACACACACACACACACACACACCAAACACACACACACACACACACACACACACACACACCAAACACACACACACACACAAACCAAACACACACACACACACACACACAATCACACACACACACAATCACACACACACAATTACACACACACACACACACACACACACACACACACACACACACACAGCCTCACCTGACTTGGTTCTCCAGGAAGTGCATGTATCGGTACAGCAGAGTGTAGGACGGAGACAGGATTCCCACGGACTTCATCCTCGCTCCGCGCTCCAGCTCGCTCTCCACTGGCATGTTGGCAAAAGCAGGCCAGCCCGAAGTATTTCCCTTTACGAAAATATCTGAGCAGAACAGAAGCAGTCAGCCGGGGTGGAAACGGGGGGAGGGCGGTTCTGACGGATCTGGACCTACATGAAGTCACTGGTGATACGGTGGGAGCCGCTGGCCATGGACTTGAACTCCACTCCGTCCAGGTTGACGTCATGAGGCAGACACCACTCCACCATATTCCCTGCCATTCACACACAGATAGTGATGTCACTTCCCTTCCTGCCTCCACTTTCATCTGGGACACTTCCTCTATTTCTTCCTCATAAATCCAAGAGTTCGTGACCTCAGATCTGACTTTGAGTAAACATTAACCAGAAGCCAAGTCTCAGCTTTTCCTCCTTATTGATTTATAGCTGCTGTTTTTTCAAACTTGATCTCTGTTGGATTTTAAATTACATCATAATACATTTGAGATAAATGGCTTGTTTTTTTAATTCAAACTGCTAACCAGAGGTGATTCAAACAAAAGTGTCCACCAACACAAAAAGCACAGATGAGTAACAAGGTTCAGATTTCTGCTGCAGAATTTCACAAACCGTTTTTAAAAATAGCACAAACAGGGGCGGTTAACCAGGGGGCCTGGTGGGGCCGCAGCACAAAATCCCAAAAAAAAAAAAAAACAAAACAAAAAAAAAACAGACAGATATTTCATCATGTAACATATAAATGAGCCAAACAGCCACTTGTGGATCCAAAGATACAAGGTGCAGATCTATGGAGCTAAATAGATGCCATAAATTGATCTCAAACACAAAAGTTTTGATACCCAAGAGCATTTTTTAAAACTGAAGAAAAATGTTAGTGATATTCTATGTTTGTGTGATTAGTTTTGAAAAATAATAGCTATGCGGAGTTTTGAATATATTTTTGTCGTCTGTTAACATAAGCAGATTAATCGCTGAGGCATGTTATTTTTCAAAACCAATCGAATATTGATAATGTTTTAAAAATATTTCCAGTTCCCACGGTTCCTGAGTAACAGCTGGGAATATGTTTCCAGCTGCTGTGTTGAGCTGTGAGTTATGATTTCACACCTGCTGTGATATGAGGCCACGCCCCTAGTGCTTCAGGCCACGCCCTGCGCCAAACATGACAACAAGTTTTAAACAGAAAAATATGTATCTGAAAAAACTAATTTTAATCTGAAAAGTCGTTTTGAACATTTTTAAAGTTTCTATTTTTTAATTATTATTATTTCTAAAACTAACTTTATGGCCCCTATTGAACTCCACAAGTTTTTGGTGACACCACTGGCCCTGGGACCCACTTCCTTCTAGATCTGGCCCTGCTTACATGCAGAATAAATACAGTAGTTTAAAGTTATAGCCTTATTGTTACATAATCCTCTTTTGCAGATTAGTTGATTCTGTACATTTTGCCTCATTTTTCTATTAAAAACAACAATTCATGCCCCATCGGAAAAAAATGCTATTAAAATGAATTTATATCTATTGAAGCTAATTTCCTGTGGGAATAATAAAAACAAGCTGTTTGTTTTAGTCATGTTGTTTTGTGGCTCTATAAATGTGTAGCTGAACTGAAGGTGAAACTGACTGCAGGGTTGAAAGGTCACTGACCCTTCAACCCTTCAGGGTTGAAGGGTCAGTTAATATATTAATCAATATGTTTTTGTTTTAACGCATAAAATCCTGTAAATGATGCTTTAAGGCGCAGAGATCACATGATGGTCGTTTCATGGTCTCACCTGATCTGGTATCAAAGGTCACCACAAAAACTGCCACGATCTGGTCCTTCTCCTCCCACTGACCCCGCGCCGTGACCCCGGGGAAGGGGAGGCTGGAGCCGGGAGGCTGCGGGCGGGTGAAGCCGCCCCCGGCCGGCTTGTCCCTGCTCACAACCACAGCAGTGATGTTCCGTGTGGGGCTGTAAGTAACGGCGGTGGGAACGGTGGGGACGGCGGCGGGGACGGCGCCGCTCCACCCCGAGCCGGACGTCGGTGTCCATTTGTCCGCCGCGGCGGTGTCGTCCTGCCGCTGCGGCTCGGGCGGCGGCCGGGCCGCGCGGTTCGGGTCGGGCGGTGGGATCTCCTCGCAGTCCAGCAGCGGGGCTCGGTCCGACTGCTCCACCATGGCGCGGCCTCGGAGCGGACAGGAGCGGCGGCGGTCCGGCGGTTCGGAGCGGGCGGCGGGTTAGACTCGCTGCTGCGGCCGCATCGCGGTTCCCTGCTGATGTCGGTTGTTTTCCACGGATTTGTAAGCGTGTCACATCCACGGAGTGGCTGCTTTTACTGTTGTGATGACGTAGCTGACTTCCGCCCACGTGTCTGCGTTACTATTTCATAGCATGACCTCATTTTTGTTTATTTATCAGCATAATTCAGTTTTATTGCGGCTTTGATATTTTATCTCCTAAATCTTTTTCATACAGTTTTATGTAAAATATTTCTTTTTAATATTTTACAATTTGACTTGTTTGTCAGACTAAATATAGAAATAACATTTAAATTACTACAAATACTTTTCATTTTCTTTGGTCCCACATTTAGCATTAACATATTGTAATTGATCTTATTCTGAAGATACCATGATTCGTATTTTAAATTAGTTTTTTTACACTGGTTAATACTTTGAGATTTACATGTAAAGCCAGAAATATTGAACATAATAAAGGTTTGACTGCTCTAATGCCAATAAAGATTCATCTTATTGTGTGAGATAACATTTGTATCAATATGTTAAGAACTAAATCTGAGACTCAAAATATTGCTTATTTTTTATCCTGCTTTATTTTAATGTAATATCCTTTATTCTTTTCTTAAACTGTTTTATTTACCTCTTTTGCTCAGTTTCTCGTATTGTAGCAGAATAAAATGTATTGTGTTTCTATGTATTCCTTCACATATTGTTTTATTGATCTTCAACAAATAAAAAGAAAAAACGGTTAAACGATCAGCCAATCAGATCGCTCGCTGCGTTCACCCGGCGCGCTAATTGATTTAAACCGGAAGTATTTACCTGGCTGAACGGAAGCGTGTTTGTGCGGAGCGCAGGGCGTTTTGTTTGTAAGGAAACGTGACTTTTTCTCGGGGGCTGAAACATAAATATGTTTTTTTATTCTTCTTTCTCAAAAACATCACATTTTATACGGATAAAACTGGGACGTTTGCATTAAGCAGCGATATTGAGCATCACTTGGAGGCAGCAGGAGGCCCATATTTAACCCTGGTGTTTGGTTTTCAGGTCAGAGTTGAGGAACATGAAGGAAAACTTCCCACAGCCTCATTCCTCAGGCATGGCGGCTCTGTTCGGAGAGATCAGCCAGAAGCTGGACTTCTCCAGCTGCGGCGAGGAAGGAAACAGCAGCGACAACACGTCCGATGACAGCGCCGGCCTCCCGGAGTGCAGCCCCGCCCTGGCCGGCAGGACGCCCCGGGTGCAGCGCCACAGCAGCAGGAGCAACTCCTCCTCGTCCCCCCTGCAGAGCGCCAGCCCCATTCCTTACGCATCCTGGAGGAAACTGAGACTCTGCGACACCCCCAACACTCCCAAGGTAAGAACCACCTGGAGAACATCACGACGATTAAAGGAAGATCTACAGCAGTGGTTGGGACCCAGAGTGGGTCCTGGAGGGCCTGCATGCTGTAGGACCTGGATCCAATGACGGCTCGTTAGAGGAAGAACATTGATATGCTGGAAAGGTTGTTTCTACCAGCAGTGAGAGAACTGAACCCTGCAGGACCCACTTTGGGCACCACTGGTCCAGAGAAACTCATCCATAAATTCTCTTTAGTGGAACAGTGTCCTCACTGGTCCAGATCGCTGCTGCAGCTGCTGCTGTTCTCACTAAAACCAGGAAGATGGAGCAAATCACCCAGTTCTTCAATCCTTCACTGGCTCCCTGGAGCTCAGAGACACTAAAACATTGTTGGTAGTTTATAAAGCACCCACGGTACATTAAAGATCCGCTGTGGTTGGATGAACCTCCCAGACCTTCTGGTTGTGGTCTGCATCCACAGAACCAAATTAGCCTCCATGTTCTGTTCACCACAAATCTGGAACAAACTTAGAGGAAAAAACAGCTGAAACAGCGAGTTCCTTTAAACTCGCTGTTTCCTTTAAAGCCAAACTGAAATCTCAGCTGTTTACAGTTGAATTTGAACCATAATATAAACATTGATCAATATGTTTGATGTCTTGATGATTTTGATGTAATGTTTGTCAACAGCTTCATCTGTGACTTTATGATATGATTTAAAGCACATTGATCTGCCTTGATGCTGAAATGTGCTACACAAGTAAACTTGATTAATCGATTGAGGTGAGTTTCCTCCTCCATGGCTTCTTCTGAGGAACCTGAATCATTTTACTTCATTCTTCTTGCAGAGTTTGCTCTCCAAATCCTCCCAGCCGTTCTCCAACGTTAAGGTCAGTCACCACCAGAGGAGTCTGCGTTTCGCCTCCGCCGCCGCCTGCCTGGTCCAGGCTCCTTCAGTCAACGTGAATCCCTTCACTCCGGAAACGGTCCGCAGAAAGAGCGAGGTGCTGTGGAGGAGCGGCAAAGAGGAGGCCCACGATTACAGCAACAGGTGTTTTACCAGAATATCTCATCGATTAGACATTTTAAAGTGCAGACATTTTTCCACAGCATGGAATCAAAACGGACATTTCATCCCTGAAATGTCCGTTCAGGGATTTTTAGCTTATCCCTGAACTTACCTGTTCAGGGATAAGCTAAAAAAAAACAAAAAACAAAAAACAAATTATACGCAACATACTGTGCAGTTATCAGAAACACCAGATAATTTTATTTTCTTTTTTTATGTGTACATTTTCAGCGACCTTGTTGCGGAAAATGTTCTTCATAAATAAAATTACCTTTCATTACATTAACAATTGAAATATCAGAAAATAATACATATTGGAAATTAGAAGGAGAAGAAAGTAAGGAAAAGGCCTCATAAATATAACACATAAATATAACCTTCAAGATAACAGTTGTGTACTTAAATATTTTATCAATCAAAACCATTTTTATCTTTACATCAATGACTCTGACCAGCTTTTGGAGATCGTGGAAATTCATGCAAAATCAGCAGATCCACACACTGTTTTTTGTTTTCTTGGGTTTTTTTTTTTTGGGGGGGGGGGCAATAATGTGTAACTTTGAGTTCACTGCAAATTTTATTCAAAAATTTGTCCAAAACTTTGGGATTAAATTATGCTAACCCCCACCTGTAGGTAGCAGTACTTCCTGCTTTTAGTTCTCTGTAGCCTTAGCTGATGTCAAGTTATATTCTGTGATTAATACAATATGTATCAAAAGTCAAAGATCATAAAATTTCTCGCATACATTTCCAATTTAGCACCACAAAGTAAACAATTTTTACTGCAAAAAAAATGACAAAAGCAACTATGAAATCGTGGAGGGGCTGATCAATGTGAAAAGATGTCGAATATTATTTAGTGATAGCTATTTACTATTTTAACAGTTTAATATTTTAACACTTTTAAAACATTCATGATCTTGATGTGGGACAAAATAATTTTTTTCTTCTTTAAAAAATTTGACCATCAAAAGTGAAAAGTTTTCAAGCTTCACATTCTGAAAAAAAAATTAAAGTAACTGTGGAACTGGAAATAAATAATTCTCCTGAGTTTTCTTTATTAATTCACCAGATATAAAAAAGTACTGCAGACTGACAAACAGGTACTGATATACAAAATAACCAGTTTGACAAGAGAATGAAGATTTAAAAAATAAGCAAAAAAGAGATGCACTTTAAAAATAAATTTAAGACAAAACAGAATTTTAATTGTTGATAGTATGTGGGATACATGTTTTTCTTTTAATCTTTGCAGTTATTTTCAGATTTTGTGTCATATAATGAAATTGAGTATTCAGTTAAGAATATCTGGAACATTCAGATGGAGCTGATTATTTATGGCTTTTTCGTGTGACAAGGAGAATTGGAATTATATTCTGGATTTATCGCGCTGATGGAGGAAATGCAGATGAAATGAAACTAATGTGATCTCTGTTTTAATTTTCATGTGGTTATGTTGGGGGCTTCTGTTAAAATCTTCTAGGTTGAAGCACAGCCTGGCGTCATCTGAAGAGGATGATGAAGCCTTCCTCCCACCAAAGGTATGACTATTTTTATCGATGCCCACGGCTGAAAATAATCCAGCCTATCAGATTCATCCGCTGAGCCTTCATCATCGGCTCTGTCATCTTCAGCCGGCGCCTCGTTTTGTCCAAAATGACTCTGTTTCCGGATTCCTCTGAGGAAATGAAAACTGACTGCTGTCAGACGCCGTTTGGTTTTTTTGGTTGTTTTAGGGAGGAAGCAGCACCATATTTGGTGAGATCAAAGAGAATCCGGCCTTCCTCTGATGCTCTGTACGGAGCTAAATCAGGGCCATAAAGTTTGTTCAAAAGAAAAAAAAATTAAACTGGGAAAAAAGAAAAATTGAAACTTAAATTAATTTGAAGAAAATTTGAAAGTGGGAGAAAAAAATTAAAGGAAAAAAACTTGAATCTGAAAAGTAGTTTAATGTTTTCAGTCAAATATTTGAAAAAGTATTAGATAAAATAAAAACAAAATTTTATTTTCAGTTTGAAATGTTTTTTTCCCGTTTCAAAGCTTTATTTGAATTTCTGTGTGTTTTTTTTTTTTTTCAGTTTGAAAACATTTTTCAGTTTGTATTTCTTGTACTGTGCTGCTGTTAGAAGTGTTTGTTGGTTCTGGTCCCACCAGCGCCGAGCGGTCCAGGCCTTCATGCTGTCGCGCTACGAGAGCGAGTTCCTGCAGCTGGAGTGCATCGGCGTCGGCGAGTTTGGCGCCGTCTATAAATGCGTGAACCGGCTGGACGGCTGTCTGTACGCCGTGAAGCGCTCCAGGCGACCCCTGGCCGGCTCCGCCAACGAGTGAGTTTGGGTCGCCGCCGGGTGGGATCGGGTCGGGTCCGTTCGGTGCGTTACTCGTTTGGTTTTCCTCCCAGGCAGCTGGCCTTGAAGGAAGTGTACGCTCACGCCGTGCTGGGCCACCACCCTCATGTTGTCCGGTATTATTCAGCCTGGGCAGAAGACGACCATGCTGATCCAGAACGAATACTGTGACGGTGAGGGA